AAGGATTTATTTTAGAGTAACATGATAAAATAGGGAGAACAGGGGGAGGGAGAAACATTTACTGCTTTCCTTGCAGGAAATGGGAGTAAAGACCCAAAATAGTGGTTTATATCTGTGGTCTTATACTTTCCTACGCTGGGGAAATACATGTATTAATATCTAGCACTAAGACAATGGATCTGGAGACCAGGTGCCAGTGGCTCACACTTGTAATCCTAGCTACTCAGGAGGCAGAAATCAGGATTGGGGTTCCAAGCCAGCCCTGGTCAAATAGGGTCTTAAGAACTATTTAGAAAACCCATCACAAAAAGGGCTGGCAGAGTAGCTCAACCACAAGAGTGCCTACCTAGCAAGTATGAGGCCCTGAGCTCAAACTCCAGTGCTGCAAAAAATAAATAAAAATAAAGCAATTCTTAAAAGTAATTAAAAAGTAATTTAATAGACTGGGATGTAGCTCAGTGGCAGAGCACTTGCCTAGTATGCATGAAGCCATGGGTTCAATCCTAGCATCGAAAAAAAAATTGAAAAATTAAAAACTTAAATGGAATATTAACACTTATTTACCCAATACAAAAGAACGATGTAAAAAAACAACAAAAGACATGTAATTGTAAAACAAATAGCAAAAGAACAGAATATCCAATGACAGCAATAATTACATTAAATTCCAAAGAACTACTCAATCAAAAAGTAGATATAGTCCAAGCATGGTGGCACATGGTAATGACCCCACCACTTGAGAGGGTGAGGCAGGAAGATTGTTTGATGCCAACCTGGGCTACATAGTGAGATCCTGTCTAAACAAAGCCAAGACATTCCAAAAACGTCACATGAACTGAATGTATTGGCACATGCCTGAAATCCCAGCTGAGGCAGGAGGATGGAGTTCAGGCCAGCCTGGGCTACATAATGAGTCCCAGGAACATAGTAAAACCGTTTCACAAAAGAATGTCAAATGAAAAAGACTACATTTCCTATGGTTCTATTGATATTAAATGTCTAGAAAAGGCAATTTTATAGGGACAGAAAGCAGATTGGTTGTCTGGGGCAGGAGGGGATGGTGGCAATGGACTGCAACAGGCTGTGAGGGAAATGTCTACCACAGCATTCCTCCCATCCTTTCTACACACTAATGTGAATTTATGTGAATGCAGTGTGAATTTATGCATACCTTATAACCTGGTAGTGCCAATCCCAGGTATAGAAATGTCCGCAGGTATGCACTAAAAGTCATATTTAAGAATGTTCATAAACAAAAAAAAAGAAAAAAGAATTTTCATAATAGGCCCAAGCAGGAAATGACCACATATGTATTAACAGAAAAAACATATTTTATTCATACAAAGGAACTATGACTACACAGAACATGAATTTCAATGTTAAGTGAATGAAGTTAGACAAGAAGAAATACGGATTTTATGTAAGTCAGAATAGGAGGCATTCTTTGTAGTGTTGAGGTGGTACAGATGGGAGGGGATTCTGGATTGTTGATATTTTTACTTCTGTGGGTGCCTGGCTAAATGGATGGTTCCTTTGCATTGTTTCATGGATCCTTTCACGGGTAGAATTTACATGTTTTTTTAACTATTATGCATCTGTAAAGTGTTATTAATAGATATTTGGAGTAATCAAAAGCTACTTGAAGGTAATATATGGACAAGAGAATGTTTGAGTGAGTCCTATCTTCTTAATATTATGTTGGGTTTTTTGGTGGTACTGGGTTTGAACTCAGGGCCTCATGTTTGCTAGGCAGGTGGTCTACCACTTGAGCCACTCCACTAGCCCTTTTTTGTGTTGGGTATTTTCAAGATAGGGTCTCGTGAGCTATTGCCTGGGCTGGCTTCAAACTGTGATCCTCCTCCTCTCTGACTCCAGAGTAGCTAGGGTTACAGGCGTGAGCCACCAGCACCTGGCTGCTATATTGCTTGTTTTCAAAAACTATATATTGAGCATAGGGCTGAGGATGTAGCTCAGTGGTTGAGCACTTGTCTGACATACACAAAGCCCTGCATTTGATCCCTAGCACTGGGTAGGGCAAGGGGAGAAGTGGGAAGCATGTAGGTTTATCAAGAAGTTAATGCTATTTTATTGTGAATTTTGTACTAGCAAATATCTTTCCTCAATAACCTCTTAGAAATACACATCCTTGTTCCTCAATAAAAGACTCTAGATTCTTCACAAGTATATTCCATTTCCTCTTTAAAAAAAAAAAAAGCTGGGCACAGTGGTACACACTGGTAATCCCAGCTACTCAGGAGGCAAAGGCAGGAGATCACAAGTTCCAGGTCAGGTAGTCAAGGTTAGCAAGACCCTATCTCAAAAAAGGACTAGGGGCATAGCTCAAGTGGTAGAGCACTAGGTTCTCTTGCCAGTACCAGATTAAACATGCGCGCACACACGCACACACACACACTGACAAAGGAGTTAAGTTCAGCTGGGGAGAAAAATAAAAGCAAATGGGGAAGTACCAGTACAGAGGTAAGTCTGGATCCAGGATTCAATGTTTTGGTTCAAATCTTTCACCTTCACCTGGCAGTCCTAGCACTAACTTGGCAAATTATTTATGCTCTTATTTAGTTCAGGTGTTCTGCACAGGGCCAATATACAGCTTTTACTTTGAATTCTGAAAGATAGTACAGAGCAACCATCCCTTTTAAATATTAACAGGCTACAAAGCTAATAAAATAGTGTAATATTGCCAATGGATCAAAAAGAACAAATATTAAATGTAGAAGGTTGTATTAGTTTAGTAGGGCTGCCACCCTACTGAAACACCACAGATGAGATGGCTTAAACAGCGCATGTTCTTACAATTTTGGGGCCTAGAAGACCGAGATCAAGGTTTCAACCAACAGGTTTCATGTTCTTCCAAGGCCTCTCTTCTTGGCTTGCAGATAGCCCCCTTCTTTGTCTTCACATGGTCTTTTTTTCTGTGCTCACATTTATCTGTGTCCACATTTCCTCCTATAAGAAATTGGTTATACTGGACAAGGAACTATCCATACAACCTCAGTTTTACCCCCATCAGTTTTTCAAAGGCATCATCTCCATATACAGTCACATTCTGAAGTGCTGGGGGTAGACTTTAGTACCTGATGATACACCATGAAGGATGGAAGAGTGCAGAATCAGCCAATATTTTATTTTTTGAAAAACTGAATTTTTGTCGGTACTGGGGTTTAAACTCGGTGCTTTGTGCTTGCCACTTAAGCCAGGCCACCAGTCCTAAAATTGAATTTTTAAACACAAGCCTTCCAACAAATAAGTCAAAAGATGGTCAATGGTTTTGTAAAATTCCTATCAAAAAAACTTGGCAAATTTTCATGGGAGAGAAAGCAGAATTTCCTAAGGTTAAAAGCATGTAGAGAAATCAAGAGGAAGCAGTCATTGACTTAAGTAGAATAAGTATCTTTCCTCTGCAAAAGCTTAGGAGACAAGACGGTGGGAAATATGGGTAACAATGGACTACTGTTTGTTATGAAAGCTTATACAAATAAAATCTTCAGAGTTGAAAATCAAGACAGGAACAAAGTAGAAAGCTGAAGGCAATGTTGAACATCCATCTGTGATTAAAGCACAATTTAGAAGACTTGCAAGAGTGCAAAACTGCAAAGGGTTTACTGCCACGAGGATGGGAAAAACAAAACAAAAAGACCAGCACAACTCAAACCAACACCAATTTCATCTAAAGCCAGAGCTCTTGGCACTTTGTGACTCAGAATATTCTACTTCCCAGAAATGGCGATGGCAAGGGCAGAAGCTGTTTTGCAGACTAATTACTGCGTTACTGGTGTAATGGGTAATGTAAAAACAGCCCAGCCCATGAGGATGTTCTGTGATGTGCTGCAATACAGAAAACAGACACAAGAGAATTGATTCCAAGGCAGGAATTAAATTACACTGCTGACAATAGGAAAAGGGAACCAGGAACTAGAGAAAAGGTGAGATCAAAAAGAATTAACCTAGAAGGTAACACACACGCACAGGAAATTAATGTGAGTCAACTCCCTGTATAGCTATCCTTATCTCAACCAGCAAAAACCCTTGTTCCTTCCTATTATTGCTTATACTCTCTCTTCAACAAAATTAGAAATAAGGGCAAAATAGTTTCTGCTGGGTATTGAGGGGGTGCGGGGGAGAGGGAGGGGGCGGAGTGGGTGGTAAGGGAGGGGGTGGGGGCAGGGGGGAGAAATGACCCAAGCCTTGTATGCACATATGAATAATAAAAAAAAAAAACCATTCACCCAGAAAGATAAATAAATTACACTGCTGACATAAGTGCACCTGTTGCATGTTGAAAAGCCACCAGAGGGCGCAAGCAGGAGACTGGCTCCAAGAAAACTCGCACCTGTTGCTCTGCTGGGTCAAAGTACCAGCTTCAAAGTGAGTGCCTCAAAGAGTCACTGTGGCACTGTGTGCTTGTTAGAAATGCAAATTATAAGCCCCTCCTAATAAACTTAATCAGAATCACCAGAGAAGAGAAGGTGGCCTGGGAAATTGTGTTTTAACAAGCTCTCAAGGTGATTTCCAAACCCTGAAGATTAGAAACCAATTATGTAAGGGAAAAAAAAAAAGGATGGGGATAACAGCTAAGGTAAGATTGTTCCAGGAGTTGAGGGGCAGCATGAGCAATATAGGGAGACCCTGTCCCAAATAAAAACATCACACACACACACACACAAAAAACGCCACAGATCAACTATCTGATGTCATTTGCTCCCTGTCCTTGAGGGTCTAACTGACCAGAGCCAGAAGAGGATTTCAAAACTGGCAGAAACTTTAAAAGAACAATTGTTATCAGTCTTCTGCCCACCCCTCGAATCAAGACATGAGCAGTCAATATTTGATAAGCTTGCTTTATTTTATGTGAGCCACAGTCTTTATGACTGACCAAAATAATCATTAAAGTAGTTCTCACTATCCATGAAGGCACAGGAAAAATGAATGCAAAAACTTAAGAATATTTAATCTCTTAAATTTTAGTAGCAGAAGCAGGGATGTCCTTGTAACGTTCACAATTTATGCAGTCTTAAAGAGGATGCTGAGGAGTGTCTGACCATGATGAATGGGACTTCAAGAACTCTTCAAGTTGTTTTATCTTCTTAGCTAGAAGACAAGAAACTGATATCAACTATAAAGAAAAATGGTCAGAGTATCCTAGACTGGAGAAGGGAGAGAGATTTGGTAACATTATTTCTAAGAGTGGAGGTCCTGAACCTAGGATCTGTGAATAATGATGCCGCCCAACTAAGGCTGACTTGGGTGGTTATGGGCCTGAATGAAACTCATTTCCGTTGTATTTCCCAAGGTCCTCCTAAAGGAATTTCCCAGGGAATCTGCGCAGTTTCCTGGAATTTAGAAATGCATAAACTGTGAGAAAGTTAAGGGAGGCTGGAAAGAAGCCATCAGGCCAGAAGGATCACCTGTGGCTTCCTCCACATGCAAATTCTCAAAGACCTCACCTCGTTGGAAACGGAGGTCTTTGTGCCACGATGCCAAGCTCAGCAGAATGCTCTTCACTCGATTCTGTATACGTGGCCGTCCAAAGATGGTGATTTCGGCTAGGTTTCCAGAGTCCACGGTGTCCACCCTCAGCAAGGCCTGGCTCATCCACTCCATTTCTGGAATTACGGTTCGGTCTGAACCTACACAGATTAAGGCGAGATTCTAAGGAGCAGCATGGTTTCAGGTCAGGAGGTGTTGGGCTTGTGGGGAATACTGGCCAGGGAAGGGAAGAGCTGGAGGCTGGACATCCCCAGCAACACAAGTGGCCTGCAAATAAGGTCGTGAAGTTGTAGAGTTGCTCAGCTGGGCTTTCCCAAGCTGGAGGGAGCTAACCCAAATACACCCATGGACGGGTGGCTCACCAAAGATGCTGTCTGCCAGCCAAACCTCCAGATAGAACACCAAAGGATCGCTCAGTTCCTGTGCTGGAAACCACCATGGCCTGACACGAATCCGGGGTGCGGGAAGGGGCCTGCTAAGCAGCCGCCCCAGTGAGGAGGCCAGCGTCGGCGTGTCCCCCGTGGCCTCCACAGCAACAGCATGGTCGACCATAGTGGAACCAGGCCCGGCAGAGCACACAGCAAAGGCTCTCTGGGACTTCCTCCCGACACCGTGGACCGAGCTCTTTTACTGAGCCGACAGGCCCCGCCCCTTCCGGCAGCAGCCCGCCCCCTGGCGTCGAGCGGGCCCAATGGCAGCGACCGCTTTGCATTCCCGCCCGGATTTCCTCTTCCATGTGCAACCACTACTGGTTCGAACTCCACTGGAGTCTCGGGCGCTTTGGGTTGTCTTCTCCACCTGGTATCTCAGCCTCAGAGGCTCCTGTCCCTACACGTCGTGATTAAGTGTGAAGTTGATTGGATGACCATAATCCCCTTCAGTGCCTTTTTTAAGGTTTCCAGTTACCTTCCAAAGACAGGTAGGTAGGTAGGTAGGTCAGGCGAGGGCAGGCTTACGGAGTCTGTGTTTTCTGTCATCTGCTGCCCGTTATCATTTCATTCTCCAGAAGGTGACCATTTGAAATCATTCAAAACCAAATGTCACAGGTGGTCGTTATAGAACAAGCAACAAGTTAGACAAATTCATTTATTTCTAATATCCTAAGACAACTAGTGTCTTGGCACGTTTCTCCCAATGTTCTTAATTGTAATTAAAAATTCAAATTATGTACGATTTAACACTTTCAAAGACAAATGGTATACTTCATGTAATCTAGGCACCAGTGGCTCACATCTATAATCCTAGCTATTTGGGAGGCTGAGATCCAGAGGCCAGCCTAGGCACATAATTTGTGGGATCCTATCTCCAACATACCCAGAGCAAAATGGATGGGAGATGTACATAGCATTGTGATGTATAAAGTAATTTGTTCTTCGGATTGACTATAATTTGTTCTTTAAATCTTTTTAATGGAAATTTTAATTGCATAAGGGGGTGATATTAATATACTGAATTTCTTCATTCATATACTTTAGACGTCAACATCCCCTATCTATGACAGGAGGGGGATGTAGCTCAGTGGTGGAGTGTGCTTAGCACACATGAGACCCTGGGTTCAATCACCAAAATGACAAAAAAAACCTGTGAGAGGAGATACTGATTCTAATTTTAGTGACTATTTCTACTTTATGTCACTTTTTAAAATTGGCATAATACATGTGCTGCTGGTTTACCCTAATCGTGATCCACCTGGCATTAATTCTTTAGAGATTTAGGTAGAGATATAATTTCATCTTTTTTTTTTTTTGGCAGCATTGGGGTTTGAACTCAGAGCCTCACACTTGCTAGATAGCCACTCTTACTTCTTGAGCCACCCCGACAGCTCGTCATGTTTTCATAAATCAGTACTTTTTTACTTGAGCCATTCTCCTGATGCTGCATCCAACTTGAGGCCTCTTTACATATAATCTCCCTGTGATTTTCAGACTTGAGGGCTGACAGAGTGACTCAAGTGATAGAGTGCCTACCTAGCAAGTTTAGGCCCTGAGTTCAATCCCCAGTATCTCCTCCCCCCTCCAAAAATATGTAGCTTGTGTTAGCCAAAAAGCTGGTATGTGGTCATTAATTATGTCAACACATTTGAGAAAGCCAGGATCCTTTGTCATTTTCATCTGGATGACAGTTTATTTCTTAATTTTATTTTGGAGGTGTATTCCTTCAGGGACTTTACCCCAGCTTTATTCTGTTTCTTCTTTGGGAAGCCCTATGTTTTATTTGCTGACCCCATATCAACAGAATTACAGTATTTTTAGCACTTAACAGACTGTCAAGTTGAGTCCCTTTTTTAATTATTACTTCCAGGGTGTCCTGTTTTGCTTCAAGGTTTTGGGAGTTTTTTTGTTTTTGTTTCTGTGGCACAGGGGTTTGAGCTCAGGGCCCCACACTTGGTAGGTAGGTGCTCTACCATTTGAACAATGCCACCATCCCCCAGGTGTTCTGTTTTGACTATGATTGGGAGAATGGTGAGCAAATGATAGACTGTGCATGTGTGTTGCAGGTAGCAAAGGTTATATGGGAACGCCTCATACTTTCTGCTTACTTTCTGCTGTGAACCTGAAACTTCTTTTAAAATAATGTCTTGGGTGAGCATAGTGAAGACAACTGGGGCAAAAAAGTTAGCAAGAATCTATCTTAAAAATCAAGTCAAGCCAGTGCCAGGGGCTCACGCCTGTAATCCTAGCTACTCAGGAGGCAGAAATCAGGAGATCACAGTTCAAAGCCAGCCTGGGCAAATAGTTTGCAAGACTGTATCTCAAAAAAAAATCACAAAAATAGGGCTGGTGGAGTGGCTCAGGGTGTAGGCCCTGAGTTCAAACCCCAGAACCACCAAAAATAAATAAATAACTGATCAAGCCAGGTGTGCTGCACGTCTAGAATCTCAGCTACATGGGACGAAGAGGTAGGAGTATCAAGGCATCAAAAGCATGAGACTTTGTGAAAAATAAAGCAAAAAGGGCCAGGATGCAGCTGGATGTGTACAGTTTTAGTGGTAGAGCACTTATCTAGCAAACAGGAGGCCCTGAGTTCAAGCATCCATACTGTCAAAAAATTTTAAGTGTAATTTTTTTTTTTTTTGGCAGAACTCAGGGCCTACACCTTGAGCCATTCCACCAGCCCTTTTTTGTGATGGGTTTTTTCCAGATAAGACCTTGTGATGTATTAGCCAAGGCTGGCTTTTTTTTTTTTTGCACTGAAGTTATGTATTTTAACAGCTTTACATGTAGTATTCATATATAAAAAACTTTAAGTGCTTTTCTCCAATTAAAAAATCTAAGAATTCAAAAATAAGGCATTCAATTGTTTGAAAAAAGTACAGATTTACAAAATGTGTATATTCTGTCATGAAACCTCCATACCAACATTACACACTTGGAAAAAATACAAACAGGATATGTTATAAATTTATGTAGCAATAACTTAGTTCACACCATGCAATAAAAAGTACATTAATACACAAACTTTTGTAGGTTTTAAACTGAAGGACTTTCTTTTTTCTGCAGAATCCTTAAAATCTGTGGCACTTAAAATTTGTTAGCCTTTCTGTTAGGAGGTAAATTATAAACAACAATGATGAAAAGATGAACAGACCACTTCTCTTTTATGAATCATTCCTGCTTTGTTAAACAATGGCCAAACTCTTTTCTCATCCTCTCATCATCTCCTTTGTTTTCCTGATAGAGCTGGGTTGCCTGGCTATTGACTGAACTGTTTAGATTTGGTTCATCCAACAGAGACTGAATTGGTATTGATGGTTTTCTTTTTTTTTCCTTTTTCTTTCTTTGAATTGATGTTCAGACAGAAGACAGCATATGTTGGACTCCATCCATTCTGAAGGATATCTAAACACATGCTACATCAGCATACACATTTAGAAACATTTTGGATAAAAACCTCTCAACGGTCGGCAGTTTATTTGGATATTCTTCAGAAAATTCTACTACTAATTTAAAAGTACCATCCTCAAAGGGTGTCCCTTTTGGTCCCAATATAACTGCATCCACTGCACGATATTGTTTTCAGATGGGGTGCCACTGACCCTCCCAGGTGGGTCTTGCAATCATCTGAGATCCTGCATGAGCCTCCTGAGGGTCGGGTCCACATACCCCCCACCTGCCCCGCAGTCAGTATGAAAGGAAAAGAGGCCATGCACCCCCACCCCGGTGCAGCCGAGAATCACTGTGGGCCACCACAGGCTGGCTTTGAACCGTGATCCTCCTGAGCTCTGCCTCCCAAGAAGTTAGGATTACACGCACGAACCACTGGAGTCGTGTTCCTAGGGCTCTTTATCTGGGGCTTTGAGTAGAAGTCCTCTTCAGGAGCCCCTGTGGAGGCCTACTCGTGGGGTAGACGAGGAAACCTTGAAAACTTTACCCCCAGCCCTGACTATGCCAAGTACTTTTCTGCTGTAGCCTTCCCTCCCGCCACCCACCCAGGCTCCATAGAACTGCTCTTAACTGTGCGAGAACCCCTGTGACCAAACTGATCAACCTGACCCTCCATCTGTAGGTTTTAGCCTCTGGTTTTATTACCATTGCAGTAAGTGATTAAAGCTCAACCCTTTCCATTGTAAATTGCTGCTTTGCCTTTAAAAAAACAGGATATTCTAAGGATAGAACCGGGACTTCGGGCATACTAGACAAGCACTCTACCACTGAGCTACATCCCCTAGTCCTAGCTGGCTGCCGTCATAAGCTATCCTTACAAACAGCTCAGTATTCTTCTCTTTCATCTCAGTTGAACACAAGAGCCAAGGCATTCCTAATGACAAAAGGAACTTATCTAATTGTGTTTGAATAATCTCAATAAAACTCTTGATGTTTTTGAACTCAACTTTGTGGAAATCATCAAAAACTCATCACTAAGGCCCTAAGCTTGTTCTCACTTGGATTTTTTTTTTGGGGGGGGGTTGTTGATGGGACTGGGTTATGAACTCAGGACTTTGAGCATGCAAAGCAGGTTCTCTACTGCTTGACCAACACCGTCAGTTCATTTTGCTCTGGGGTGGGGGGGGTGTCTCATAAACTCTGCCTCTGCTGGGGCTAACCTCAAACTGGAATCCTCCCCATCTCAGCTTCCCAGGTAGGTAGGATTACAGGCATGAGCCACCAGCACCCAGCTAATTTGGATGGTCTATATTTGCATCCAAGATAACCCATGACTTTGCTAACTGCTGAAGCTGTGATGAGCACAGGATATGGTCATTCGTTTATACTCTCCTCTCAACTTTTTGTCGTTTGAGATGTTGCACAACAGGGCTGGCAGAGTGGCTCAAGTGGTGGAGCACCTGCCTAGCAAGCATGAGACCCTAAGCTCAAACCCACTACCATCAAAAGAAAAAAAGAGAAAAGATGTTCCACAATTAAAATTAAGGATAGTTCAAAATGTCAATATTATCAAAGACTAAATAAACAAGGAATGATTCTAGGTTAAGAGATCAGAGATGTGACAACTAAATGCAATGAACCCTCCCTCCTTGATAGAAGTGAAAATTAACTACAAAGAATCTTTTGTCCCTGTTGGCAGGACTGGGGTTTGAACTCAGGGCTCGCCCTTGCTAGGCAGGCACTCTACCATTTGAACCACTCTACCAGCCCTTGTTTTTGTTGATATTTTCAAGATAGTGCAGCCTGGCCTCAAACCTTCTGATCTCTGCCTCCTGAATAGCTAGGATTACAGGTGTGAGCCACCGGCGCCAGCAACTATAAAAAATCTTAATTGACACTTGGGAGGCTGAGACAGGAGAATCTCAAGTTTGAGGCCACCCTAAGCTACATATGAGACTCTGCCTCAAAAAAAGTGGAAATTGGACTCTATGTCTGTATTAGATAATAGTACTGGACTAATACTGAATTTCCTGAATTAATAATCATATAGGATTATATAGATGTCCTTATGCTAAAGGGATAAATGTCATGAGGTTTGTCAATTACAAACAGTTCACAAAAGAGGCCTATTTAGTAAGAGAGATAAAATAAATGTTAGTTTGCTGAGCTCCTGCAAGACAAGGAGGAAGCAGACCTGGGGCCTGTGGGGAGCGGGGCAGGGCTGTCTCTCCCAATCCAGGAAAAAGTCATGGATAAAGCCAGTCTCTGAACATCCATGCCAATTCCTACCCAAAAGCATAGAGGGAGAAAAAAGAACAGAAGAAGCAGTCTGGCGGTCTAAGAAGGGGTGGGACTCATCTGAAATTAAGAGAGTGAAGGGAAAAGGCACCTGGAGCCTGGAATATTCAGCTGCTACCTCTGCAGCATAAATTGTAGGGGTGTAGAAATCCCCGCAGTCAACACTCTCTGATCACATCAGAGATAAATGTGACAGGGAGCTGGATGCCAGTGGCCGGCCCATGCTTGTAATCCTTGCTACTTGGGAGGCAGAGATCAGGAGGATCAAAGTTGGAAACCAGCCCTGGCCAAATAATTTACAAGACTCTGTGTCAAAAATATCCAACACAAAAAGGGGCTCATGGAATGGCTCAAGTGGTAGACTTCTTGCCTAGCAAGTGTCAAGGCTCTGAGTTCGAGCCCCAGTACTACCAAAAAAAAAAGTGTTAGGGAATAGAAAAATTTCTCCTCCTCCTTTTTTCCTCTTCACCTTCTTTCTTCTTTCTCTTCCTCTTTCTTCTTCGGGTCAAAATTGGACATAAACTCTGCCTTTTAATCTTTATCAAAACTTTTCAGTGTCTGGAGAGGGAAAGTGGGTGCTGAAAGCCCTACAGTCATGTCTGTTCTCTACTGGCTTAGTGGATACCCTTCTAAATCCTAAACCAAATTCTAGAGCAAGAGAATCTATTGCTTTTTATTGAAAAAGGTTTAGGGCTCAGCCTTTCTGAGACCCCCTCCCCATATGGGGGCTTTTCTTTTCCTCTCTGCTTAATGAGTCTCTGCTCTTTCACTGAAAAAAGAAAGGAAAAAGGTTTAGTGTCACAGATCTGGGGGGAAATGAGGTTGGCTCTATTTTGTGAAAAGTTTAAATGCAGAAAAGTACATAGTTTCATGTTACCTGGAATTACCATTTTATAATGCCTTTCCTCACCACCTCGCCCTCTAAGAAAGCAGAATCAAAGTCTCATTTACTCATCAACTCAAGCACAAGGAATTAGCTAATTTTTTGTTGTTGTTGTTGATGGTTTTTGGGCAGTAGTGGGGTTTGAACGAACTCAGGGCCTCATGCTTGCTAGGAAGGCGTTCTACCACTTGAGCCACTTCACTAGCAAATTAGCTAATTTTTTTTAAAGACTTCTTTATTTATTTATTTTGGCAGTATTGGGGCTTGAACTTGCCATGGGTGCTCTACCACTTCAGTCACATGCCCAACCCTTTGGTTTGGTTTAGCCTTTTTTTTTTCTCCCTTTGTTTGCTGTACTGCATGTTGAACTCAGGGCCTCATGCCTGCTAGGCAGATGCTCTTTTCACTTTAGCAGCCCTTTTTTTGTGTTGGTTTTTTTTTTGGGGGGGGGGCGGAGATAAAATCTATTTGCCTGGGGTTGGCTTCAAACTTCTAGATCTCCTGATCTCTGCCTCCTGAGTAGCTAGGATTATAGGTGTGAGCCACTGTACCCAGCTTGGTTTAGGTTTTGTTTTGTTTTTGCAGTACTGGGGCTTGAATTCAGGGCCTACCCCTTGAGCCACTCCACCAGCCATTTTTTTGTGATGGGTTTTTTCAAGATAGGATCTTGCGAACTCTTTGCCTGGGCTGGGTTTGATCCATAATCCTCCTGATCTCTGCCTCAGAGTAGCTAGGATTACAGGCATGAGCCACCAGTACCTGACAAAAGTGGACTTTTTTTTGGCAACACTGAATTTGAACTCAGGCCCTCAAGCTTGCTAGGTAGGTAGATGCTCTACCATTTGAGCCACTCCACCAGCCCTGTTTACAGGTATTTTTTTTTATTCATGTGTGCATACAATATTTGGGTCATTTCTCCCCTCTTTACAGGTAGTTTTTTAATAGGGTCTCACATTTACACATGGGTGGGCCCAAACCTCGATCTTCCTATTTATGCTTCCTGCATAACTAGGATGTCAGGCACGCACCATCACTCCCAGCCTTTATTCATGGAGATGGGGGAGAGGGTCTCAAACGTTTTGCCCCTGTGGGCCTTGAATTGATCTCCTTTTAGGAGTAGGTAAGGTTGCAGGCCTAAGGCTTTTTTTTTTTTAAGTTACCATTATAGTTAATTGGATGCAATTTAACCCATTCAACACAGGAGGGACTATGTCTTGTACTTTTTTTTTTTTCAATCTCTGACACTAACCATAGTGCCTAGTATCATGAGTGTCCATTATGCTCAGTGGATGACTGAACTGCTATTTGTTCAGACAATGCGAATATATTAATCAAAGCAGAGGCATTCTAACCTGGCCTACGGCCCAGAAATTATACGACCGGCCAGAGCCAGAGTGCAATGATAGGAGTGCTTCAAGCATGAATTCAACTTATTTTCTTAGCTCTAAAACTATAGCAAACATTCAGGTGATTAGTGTGTGAAGGATTGAGCAACGCCTCTCAAGCCAGTAATAGTAAAACTAGATCATTACATAAATTGTGTGCACTAGGACCATTTTTAATACTAAAATAGGCTTAAACACATCGAAGGGCTTCCTCATGTAGCAAGGAAGGATATTTTCTCATCTTTTTGTTTCAACTTTTTTAATGAGTGAATTGGAACATGCTATAAACATAACCCGGGCTTTGGAGGCATAGTTAAAAAAGGTTTCCTAAGCACTGAGATGCTGTGTAGCCACAATTCGCGTTTAATAATGCGTGGGCGAAGTCCCGCGCCTGAAAAGAAACACACGCTCTAGGTAGTGACTAGTTCAAGGCACGCCCCCACGATTAAGAGAGCGGATTGGCTGAGTCGGGAAGGTCCCGCCCACAATGCCCATCTGCCAATGACTGTGCGGCAAGAGCAGGGGGCGGGGCGAGTCTTGTGCTGGCTACTTAAGTAGCAACCGCGTGGCGGCCCTAGCATAGGGTTTCCACGACGGCACGGCGGCGTGGTGTAGAGCGGACGAGGACTACGGCGGACGCGCGGAATCTTCTCAGAACCATGTCCAGGCAAGAGGCAGGAGCTAACGCTTCGCGTTGGGTCGGTGCTTCAAGGCGAAGCTCTACAGCGTACCGTACCCAGGAAAGGAGGCCGACGGAGGAGTCGAACAGAAGAGGTCGGGGAGGAAGTAGGGGCGACAGAGGTAGCGGCGGGAGAGACTCCTCCGGTCCCCCGGAACCTGGGGCCGCTGGTCGCCGGGAACCGCCGCTCTGCTTTGGATTGAAGGACGACCTGGTGGGCGTGGTGATCGGTGAGTGCCGGGGGAATGGGCGCGGCGGGCCGGGAGGGGACCAGGGGACCAGGGGACCACCTCCGCGTTGGCTTCGCTTTAAGTCGGCGGCCGTCTAGTGAGATCCAGGTCCCTCCCTGGTGTCATTTTTAAGACCTTCTGGTGCTAGAATATCATAGGATGCATCTTTTGGTTGTCCATTAACATGTTTGACGGAGAGCAACTCATAAGTCTAAAAGACTTAGGAAATCTCTGGGATAAAGAGAGATGCTAAAAAAGGTGTTTTGACTGTCAGCTTACCCTTAAGAACAACAACGGTGCTGAAATTAACCTTTCTGTGATCACGATTTAGAAGTATTAATTTTTTTTTTTAAGAAAGAGATGTAGGATGTTGTAGAGCTACTCAAGTCTGCCATGTCTTGGACTTAGTTTCTTGAACTTTACATATGATTTATCTGCTGCTAGAAAGGCATTTTAGTACATGTTGACTCTCACAATTTTAAGAAATTTTTTGGAGAAGCATTTAAAAATAGAATTATTGCCCCTATTTGTTGCTATTAAGACAGTATAAATTACAACATTATGCTCATTGGGTTATTGGAGTTATATTTTGTTTTTGTTTTTTTATGGTGGTACTTGGGTTTGAACTCAGGGCTTCAGGCTTTCTAGGCAGGGGCTCTACCACTTGAGCCACTCCTTTTTTGTGTGTTGGGTATTTAAGATAGGGTCTCAACAGCTATTTGCCCAGGCTGGCTTCAAACTATGGTCCTTCTGATCTCCGTCTCCTGAGTAGCTAGGATTATAGGGGTCAGCATTGGCACCCAGCTTGTTTTATTATTATTTTTTTAAACCTGTTCTGAGAAAATGAGCAGATCTTGTAGACTGCTATTCAATAGCAGCTAGCCAAATAAGGCTATTCAGTAGTATTCAGTAAGGTTATTGCTAGACTATTCAGCAATTTTTTGCAAGCACAAAAGATCTGAAGAATGATATTCCATGAGAGACCCAATAGGGTTGCAATTAAGAATCAGTTCTCAGCAGTTAAGCAAGCAGATGTAAAGATGTAGGCACTGTGTTGCAGTGTACTCACTTGATGTGGGAGCTGGAATTTTTTTTTGACCCAGGGCCTCCCAAACACTAGGTACACACTGTACCTACCACTGAACTACAGCCCCAGCCCTGCAACCAACTTTTTAAAACTTGTGTTTTTTAGAAAAAAAAAGCATAACAAATTTACCTTTTAATTTTCTTTCTTTTTTCTGGTGGTGCTGGAGATCAAACCCAGAGTCTCCCAAATATTAAGGAAATTGCCCACTACTAATCTACCTAGGTCTACTTTACAAGCACATGGCACAGTGCTTAATGATAAACACAAGTTGTGCCCTAGATCTCAAGAGCTACTATGACTGAAACTATACCCAACTTCCCTTTTGTCCCTGCTCCCATCCCTGAAAACCACTTTCTGTTCTGTTTGAATGTATTACTTTAGATAATCAAATAAATAGTCATGAAGTAATTATTTTTTGTGATTGACTTATTTTATTATAATGTCCTCATCCATTTCATAGCATGTGATAAGATTTTCTTTTTTTTTTTTTTTTAATGGCAGTACAGGAGATTGAAGCTAGGGCCTTGCCCTTACCTGCCTCCCAGTTGAGCTACACCTCTAGCCCTTTGTTTTGTGATAGGATCTTGCTAAACTTTGCATCTAACTTTCCCTGGGCTGACCTTGAACTCATAATCCTGCTTTGCCTCTGGAGTGACTGGAATTGCAGATGTGGGCTACCAAGCCTGGCTAGGATTTCCTTTTTAAGGCTGGATGATATTCTGTTGTTTTGTATGAGTACACATTGTGCATCCCTTGAACACTTTTGGGTTGTGTCTACCTTTGGCTGTTGTAAACTCAGGAGTGCAATTATATCTCTGACATCCTGCTTTCACTTTTTTTGGATGTATGCCCAGAAGTGGGAGTGGCAATCATGTGACAATGATTTTTTTGTGTGTGTGAGACTGGGATTTGAACCCAGGGCTTCACACTTGCAAAAAGTACACACTCTACCCCTGGAACCACACCTCTAGTCCATTTTTCTCTGGTTCTTTTGGAGATGAGGGTCCTACAAACTGTTTGCCCAGTCTGGCCTCAAGCCTTGATCCTCAATTTTGGCCTCCCAACTATCTAGGATTACAGGTGTGAGCCACTAGCTTTTTTTTTTTTGAACCCTCCATACTTTTAACATAGTGGTACTGTTTTACAATTCAACCAACAGTGCACAGTGGTTTCAGTTTTCCCAGATCTTCAACACGTGTTTTTTTTTTTTTTTCCAGATAATGGCCATCTAGGGCTGGTGGTGTGGCTCAGTGGTAGAACGTTTGCCTAGCATGTGCAAGGCCCTGGGTTCAAATCCCAAACACTGCAAAAAGAAAAGAATGGGCATCCTACCAGGTATGAGGTGGTCTCCTACTGTAGTAGATTAGTGATGTTGAACACCTTGTATACTTGCTGGCCGATTGCATATCATTGGGGAAGTACCTGTTCAAGTCCTTCACTTTTTTTTTTTTTTTTTTTTTTTTTTTTTTGGCAGAGTTGAGGATCATATTCATGGCTTTTGGTGTGCTAGGCATGTGCTCTACCACTGACCTATACCCCAAACCTCTTAGCCTTTTTTTTTTTTTCCTAGTACGGGGGACTGAGCCCAGGGCCTCAAGTGCTAGAATGCCTGGCTAGCAAGCACGAGGCACTGCATTCAATCCTTAGGACTGGCAGAGAGAGAAAAAGAGACAGAGAGGTTGGCTTACGCTCCTAACCCCCTGCCTCCACTTTCCAAGTAACTGAGATTATAGGTGTGCGCCACCTTACCCAGCTTTGCCCGTTTTTGTAAACTGGATTTATGTAGTAAGCAGTGGTTCAAATTTCTTCACACCTTTTCCAATACTTTGATCCAGTTAATTCTTATATGAGCTAGTAGGTAATGCTTAGTCTCCAGCTCTGGAAAGGAGCTTCCTTCCACCATGACAATTTGCAGTAGAAACTTCTTAACCTCTTTCCAGACAGAAAGTGGTTACTAGACCCTGTGAGCCTTTCTTTGAGCTCAGGCTTTTTTTCACACTTGATTTGGCAGGTGGTCTACCACTTGAACCACACTCCCAGTCTTCATTCTTTTACTTTTATTTTCTGTAGTGAAAGTGATAATAAAGCTTATGACCTATTTTATTTATAAAAACAGGTCGTGGTGGGTCAAAAATAAGAGAAATCCAGAATACAACAAACACCAGAATACAGGTAAGTCATCGTGTTCTTAAGCCCTAAAAACATTGTTCATTCCTAAGGGAACACCTAACCCTAGGTTCTGCTCAGTTTAATTATTTTTTTTGTGGTCCTGGGGCTTGAACTCAGGGCCTACACCTTCAGCCATTTCACCAGCCCTTTTTTGTGTAGGGTTTTTTTAAGATAGGGTCTTGAAGAACTATTTGCCCAGGCTGGCTTTGAACCCTAAACCTCATGATCTCTGCCTCCTGAGTAACTAGGATTACAGGTGTGAGCCACCAGTGCCCAGCTCAGATCTTAAACTCAGATTCCTGGGCCTGGTCCTCTTGATTTGGCCTGTTTTAACCCACTTCCTAACATTCTGCTGTCATAGTTGTGTCCCTATAGGTAGCTCGTACTCACGTCTCAGGTAAGCTTAGATATCACTTCCTCAAGGAGCTCTAAGGCTTTCTACCTCCTTTTCCCCCTTTCTGTCTGTAAGCCCTGTGGATGATAAGCATTGACTCATCAGCCTAAAACAGCATCTTGTGTATGTTTCTAGATAAACATTAAATCAGTTAAGATAGCTAAAATTATGCCTATTTCAAGGTGTTACTTGTAGATTCTATCCTCTGTGTCATAACATCAGCCTTGATGTTATGTTAGCTCCATAGCAGTATACATGTGTAAATAGAAAATCCCATCAAGTTAAAATATAACTAACCTGACAGTTCAGTGCACTTTTTTTTGTGTGGTACTGGAGTTTGAGCCCTTTTTTGTGATGGTTTATTTTTCAAGATATGGTCTCGCAAACTATTTGTCCCGGCTGGCTTCCAACCCTGATCCTCCTGATCTCTCCCTCCCTAGTAGCTAGGATTATAGGTGTGAGCCACCAACACTGGCTCAATATACTCTTTATCTGCATAGGTTAATCCACTCCAGCCCTATAATTCTGTAAGATATGCCAAACAAAATAGTACCATTTTATAGATGAGAGAATATAGACTCAGTAATAGCATCTCTCAGATGAATGTTTTAATTTTCCCTCTGACACTTTTTTCTAAATTTATTCTCTAGGAGTTGATTTTTTTTAAATTTATTAATTGTCTTGCTCCCCGCCCTAGCCAAACAGGAGGCAAATCCCACTGCTGATACAAGTAACATCCCACTCAAATAGACTTTTAGACACTGAATGATAGCAATACCATGTTTTCTTTAATTTCATATTGTTAAAAGTTGAGGAATTATTGGGACTGGGTCAGTATCACCTGTTTTTCTCTTCTGTCTCTAGATAATAAAAGGAAATCCTGAAGCAGAAGTCAAAATTTTTGGCAGTAAGGCCATGCAGACAAAAGCAAAAGCAGTGATAGATAATTTTGTTAAAAAACATGAAAATTACAATTCAGGACGCAGATTTGGTAAGTAACTTTTGCCCATTGTGCACTTTAGAAATTTAAATTTTCTTACAGATTGTTTTGTTTATTTTAATTTGAGACACTATGTAACCCAGGTTAGCCTTAAACTTGGGATCCCCCTGCTTCAGCCTCCTGACTCTTGGGTTATGGGTTTGCACTACCACACCTGACTGCTTTCCAGGCCATGTAATAAGCCATCATTCATACTTGTTTCCTTTCTTCATGCAAAGTTTAGGATTTCCATAATCTAGTTAAGCACTTTTCTGTGAAAGCTCAGATTACTTTCACTCTTCAAATTAATATCTGTGATTAAGTGTAGTTTTACTTTTAGCCCAGATAAGTGAAAATGAAATAATTTAATACGCATACTTTGGTACTAGTGGTAAAGACTGGTCTTGGGCTCTTAACTATGTCCTTAGATCTGAGATTGACTTTGAAAACTGCTTAATTATTTGATGTTTTCAAAATCTCAGATCTGTTTAGACTGGAAAAAAAGACCATTATTGAACCATACCTAGATGCAACATGGAGTAAAATCAAGAGGCAGAATTCAGACAGCAGTGTTGCCTCTTATAGTTTCTTGGAAAAGAACTTAAACTTTAAGGCTCCGTTTCTTCATCTGTTAACCTAGGTGATACCTGCCTCTCAGGAATATTATAAAGATTATAAAGATTTAACACACATTAAGCTCTTTGTGCTAGTTTCCATCCTTCTCCAATAAATTTAAACTTTTATACGTCAATAAATGATGCCAAGGTGATCAAATTGTCTTGTTACTATAGTACAAAAACTGCAGATTTTACATTCAAGAGTTAGCATCTGATTACAAATAAATACAAAGTAGAAAAATAGCTTTGGGGATTTTGTATTGGCAGGATTTATCATAAAACTAATTTTATAAAAATATTTTTTTAACAGATGGTGCATTCAAGCCTTCTGTTAGAAGAGATGTAAGCACAAATGACAATGGAACAGAAGATCAGCCATTGATAGACTGGGATCAGATCCGAGAGGATGCATTGAAATGGGAAAAAAAAAAGTGGGCAGGTCAGTGTCATGGAGCTGGGATTTCTTTCTCCTGTGGTACTTATCCTCTCTAATGTCTGCCTTATTTTTAATGATGAATCTGTAGGAAAAATAGTAAAACTCAGTTTGCCAGTAGTCCGAAGGTCATTATAGTTTCTATGTTGTCTGTACTGATTTATTTTATAAATAAGCTAAATATTAAGCTTATTATATTTCTTGTATTGTTTAAGATGACTCAATAATGCAAAAGGTTAATAAAATAGAGAAGGAAATAAATAAACTTGCTAACCTTAAGTTACTATAGTTGCTGTAATTCAGCAAAAATTGATTGCAGAGTGGCCTAGCTGACATTGACTAAAAAAGGGAACATCGTTAAATCATAAGAAACAACAATTCTTTTGGGGGGGGGCAGTACTGGTGTTTGAACTCAGGACCTCACACTTGCTAGGCAGGTACTCTACCACTTGAGCCACCCCACCACCCTTTTTGTGCTGGGTATTTTTGAGATAGGGTCCTAGGAACTGTTTGCCCTGGCTGGCTTCAAACCAAAGTCCTCCTGATCTTTGTCTTCTGAGTAGTCAGGCCACCAGTGCTCGGCTCCACATAACAATTCTTGATAAGTTTTTGTTCACTTGACTTTTAGACAGGGTCTTGCTATGGAACCCAGCTGGCCTCCAACTCCCTGTATAGCCCAGGCAGGCCTTGACCTCATAATCCTCCTGCCTCAGCCTCCAGAGTGCTGGGATTATAGGCATGGGCCATTTTACCTGGCATGTTTGCGGGAATTTTAAATGAAATTTCTCACGTGCTATAAATGTGAGACGTTTCATAATAACTTGGACACTAATGTAGGCTATCAGCAATACATCTTTTATTTAAAATTAAAAAGTTGATGCACTAACAGAGTGACCAGTGACTCAGCACCTCTGTGTATTTTAAGTTTCCAAACAATAGATGTGTTGTAGGATTTAGTTTTAGGGGACTAGGGAAAGGATTTAAGTTTGGAAGATAAGAATTTAAGAAATATAGTCTCAAAGTAGAATAAGGTTGTAAATATAATTCCTAAAAGTAATGGTATGGGGCTGGGGATTGTAGCTCAGTGGTAGAGTGCTTGCCTGGTACACATAAGGTGATGGGTTCAATTCCCAACTCTAAAACAAAAAGTAATGGTATAGTCTTCAAAGGAAAATTAATGTACTATGTTTGAGAGCTGATTCATCAGGTGTGGTGGCTATATGTCATGCTTTCCTTTATTTGAAAGTTTAATATTAAAGATCCCTTTCCTGGGTGAAGAATGTAATTGAAAAACAAGCCAAAAGATCTTTTGTTAGGGCAGAAGCCTGAGTGGCAAAGCATAGAACTGTCTAAAACTGTATGCGTGGAGAACTTCATATATTTTGGGTTGATTTCTGTAGCTTTGAGTAAATGTTAATGAAATGTAAATTCTCATTACTTATCAAAGTTTGGATTTTCATGTTTATCCCAGATTTACCTCCAATTAAGAAAAACTTTTACATAGAGTCAGCAACAACAAGCTCAATGTCACAAGCACAGATAGACAGCTGGAGGTGAGTAGTTTTCTTTCATTACCTAATGTGTTCTTGTAGTTTGTACTATTAACTGTTTAGCCAATTATTGTATTTGAACACTATACTCATCTTCCATGTTTATTCAATTGAAAACTTGGTTGCATCCTACACGATAGCTTTTAGAACATTGGTATTAAATAAACATTTCAGTCAAGGAGGCAGAGGCATGAAGATTAACAGTTCAAGCCCAACCGGGGCTACAAAGTGAATTTGAGTCCAGCCTGGGCTACATAGCTAGAACCTGTCTCAACAAAACAAAGCAAGCAATTCAGGTGCCAGAGGCTCATGCCTGTAATCCTAGCTACTCAGGAGGCAGAGATCAGGAGGATCTCAGTTCAAAGCCATCCCAAGCAAATAGTTTGCAAGACCCTATCTTGAAAAACCCTTCACAAAAAAAAGGACTAGTGGAGTAGATTAAGGTGAAGGCCCTGAGTTCAAGCCCCAGTACCAAAAAAAAAAAAAAATCATACTGCCATGATAGAGACTGGTCTGTACATGTCTAGAGTAGCCATATAGCTGTTGAGCACTTAATCTGACTCATACAATTGAAGAATAATCATGTGCATGCCAACATTCCATACTACAGAATTATTTCTCCAACAGTTGAAAATTGAAAGAAAAATTGATCGGCTTTCTACATTGTAATTATTTTAACTCCTTAATTTTTTTTTTACTCCTTTTTTTTTTGGTCAGTACTGGTTTGAGCTCAGGGCCTGATGCTTGCTAGGCATATGCTCTACCACTTGAGGCATAACCCTAGCCCATTAACTCCTTAATTCTATCTAAAATCAAAAGTTTTAGTAGAAATTTGAAAAACTGATACAAAGTTGTTAAGAAATAAAAAATCTACCCAGGCACTGTAATCCCAGCTTCTCAGGAGGCAGAAATCAGGAAGATCGCAGTTCAAGGTCAACCTGAGCAAAAAGTTAGCAATAACCCATCTCAATTAATAGGTGAGCGTGGTGGCATGTGCTTGTCATCCTAACTGTGAGAAATGTCAGTAGGATTGCAGCTGCCCCAGGCTCGAATAATAGAGCTCCTGCCTAGCAAATGGAAGTCCCTGAGTTTAAAACACCCAGTACACATACGCACATATACACACACACAAAATCTGCCTGGTCATGGGGGCATGCCTGTAATCCCAGCACTCAGGAGGCTGAGGACAGCCTACTACAAAAACCTGTCTCAAAAAAAATTGTTACAAAACTGTGAATGATCGCAGAAAGAGGGGAAAGAGGGTTGAGGTAGGGCTCAGACCTTTGGCAAAAAACTAATGTTATGATCACCTAGGGATGGTTTTTTGTTTTAAAAACTATTAGCATTTATTACTGGTACAAAGGTTTTACTGATATTTCCTTACATGGTTCTAATGTACCTTATCAAGTTCACTTCCTCCCTTACTCTTACCTCAACTCCCCTTTATTTTACATTTTAGGGGGCTTCATTATGTTATTTTCATAAATACATATGATGTACTTTGATCATACTCACCCCATCACCCTCTCCTTTCCCCTCCCTTCTCCCACTTGATCCTCCCCACAACAGTCCCTTGCATCCATGTCATCGCGGTTACTGTTACTGTTCTTTAGGTCTCTGTTCTGCATATGTAAGAGTATCTTTCTGACTTACCTCATTCAACTTGATCATTTCTGGTTGCATCCATTTTCCTGCAAATGATGAAATTCATTCCTTTCTGGCTGAATAGATGATCTCCTATTAAAAGAGAATACTTCCTTACCTAGTCCTCTGTGAGGACTAGCTAAGACAACAAGTGTGAAACATTGCAGGCCCTCAAGAACTTGCTAAATGTGGTTTTGAATTATGAAGCACATGATTTTGGGGTTGTTTTTCATAATCTTTCACCCATGAAACTCATTGACTCACTCAGCATCCATGTAATTGATTTTCCCTTCCCTCTACAACTATTCTTCCACATAAGAGAGATGGGCTCTGTTGCACTTTCTTTTCTTGGTACTGGGGTTTGAACTCAGAGCCTCAGGCTTGCTAGGCAGGCACTCTACCACTCGAGCCACTTCACCAGCCTCTTTTGTGTGCGTGCATTGGATATTTTTGGGATAGAATCTTACTTTTGTTGCAGGAACTGGTGTCAAACTGCAACCCTGCTGATCTTGGTCTCCTGAGTAGCTAGGATCACAGGATGAGCCACTGATACCTGGCTCTTTCTTTTTCTCTAGTTTGTTTTTGAGACAGTCTTGTATGTCTCCAGCTGGCCTCTGCATGTGATCCTTCTGTATCCGTTACATGCTCTGTATTTCTTAGTATGTTTCACTGTAAATTTTGTAACAAGTTGGTTTTAATTAGTTGCACTGAATTTCTATGATCTGAAGTGGTTTTGTAAAGAAAATTCTTTCTTAGGTATTAAAGTAACCAAAACCACTAATCCTTATATTTTTCTGTAAAGGAAGGAAAATTTCAACATAACATGTGATGACTTGAAAGATGGTGAGAAACGTTCTATTCCCAGTCCTACCTGTAAATTTGAAGATGCTTTCCAGAGTTACCCAGAAGTTATGGAAAATATTAAAAAGGCAGGTTTTCAAAATCCAACACCAATTCAGGTATGCTTGCCTTAGTTCTAATATTTCACTGTATGTGTGTATCTGACTGTTAGAAGTTATGTCACCAGGGAACAACTGTCTCTCAGGAGCATGCCTGTACCTCCTGCTAGCACCACCCAGCAATGCCCAGCACCCAAGGCCTTTGAAAGAAGCTTTGAGCTGGGAGAAGAGGGGCAGAAAGAGATGGCAAAGGGAGGTGTACTCTTTGCTTCAGTATTTATCATTCTTTTTCAGTCACAGTCATGGCCAATAGTTCTGCAAGGAATAGATCTTATTGGAGTAGCACAAACTGGAACAGGGAAGACATTGTCCTATCTGATGCCTGGGTTCATTCATCTAGACTCTCAACCAGTGTAAGAATTCCTGTGATTGTGTTCTCTTCTTAGGGGTTTGATAGACTCCAAAAGTGTGATTAATTCTGTCCTCTATCACACTGGTAAAAAGTTAATACCTTACTGTGTCAGAATGCAAGGAATTACACGATTACATTGTACTGATAAAAGTATGAATTAGAAAGAATTTTAGAAGCAATAGTCTATGTCTACCAAAAGCCTTACTAGAGAAACCTTGAAGTCAAGTTATTTAAATTGTAATAAGTAAAATTGTTTAAATAAAATTAGGCAGATGAATTGTCCAAAACATTTCCCTATTCAGTAAGAAAATGTTTAAATGAAATGTTAATAAAAAGGTCAGGTTAAAGGAGAAAGCCAATAGAACACTGGGTTTTTGCTGTATGTGGCTTATTTTCTATATTTCCCCACTTTGTGGTAACTTTCTAATCTGAGCACATTTATAAAACCCTGTCAAACAAGCAGATTTTAGGTATGTGAATTATAGTTAGTGAACCAAAGTCTAAGTTTTAATCATATACCTCACAAAAAGTGCAAATATGTCTAACTTTGACAGTCATTGCTACAAATCTAGCTTTGAGTTTAATCTCCAGAAGCACAAAAATAAATAAATACTCAGTCTTACACTGAATGAATGTACCATGCATCTGTGACGGGTAATTTAATATTGATGTTTCCTTTTCAAAGAGCTCGAGAAAAAAGAAATGGACCAGGCATGTTAGTCCTCACACCCACCCGGGAATTAGCGCTTCAGGTAGAAGCCGAATGTTCTAAGTATTCATATAAAGGTCTTAAAAGGTAAGTCATTTTCTTGGTCATTTCCATACCAATTGATGTATCTGTGGCAATTTTCTTTATTTTAATTTCATAATTTGTGACTCTGGAAATTGAACCAAGGGCTTTAAATATGCTAGGCATATTCATATACTGAGCTGTTCCCCATCCATATAAATTAAATGTATTTTAATTGATACATAAAAAATAAAATCATACATATTAACAGGGTATTATTAAATGTTTTAATACATGTATATAATAGAATGCTTAAATCAAATTGAACCCTGCTGTGCAATAATACAGCAGAGCTTCTTGCTTGTATTTAGTGATGAGTTTTATATTTTTAGTCATTTGTAGTTTGAAATATCCTCTTCATTATTTGCATACATTTAGAATCTGAGTGGCTCATAATGGGTCAGGCATGTACCCCTCTCCTGATCAACAGTAGCCATGTAATAGGGTCAAGTAATGGCACAAACATGGTTCCTTAGGAAACACCCCTGTGGGTTGATATGTGTGGATAGTTCTCAGAAAGGGACAGATACAGGTACCCCTAAATGTATCTAATATTTTATTTCTTACTGTATACCCAGAATGCTTAGGTTGGTTGGGATTTTGAGTTGTGATGGGATATTCTTTGGCTAATCCTGAACCTCTGGGTTTTTTTAGTGTTTGCATATATGGTGGTGGAGATAGAGATGGACAAATACAAGATGTTTCAAAAGGTGTGGACATCATTATTGCAACTCCTGGAAGACTGAATGATCTACAAATGAATAACTACGTCAATCTGAAAAGTGTAACTTACTTGGTAAGTGTGGAGTAGGGGTTTGGAATACTGGGAGGAAAAACTCAAGATTTTTAGGATGGCTGTCTATTTTACCATGGTTTTTGATTCTGGAATATTTCCCATTCCCTTTAGCATGTTAAGAATTAGAAATTTGAGGCCTTTAAATATTCTCATTAAATAGACTTAGAAACTATTGGAAAGTGAAGTAAACAAATCAGTCAGTATTCCTTATAACTGGAGAGCCTAGTTACTTTGATCTCTGAGGAAAAATTAAAGCAGTGGCTTAGGTAGTAAGGGAAATGAGTGTTACATCCATAGGAAAGCACAACTTTTCTTAGGACAAGCTGTGATTAACCACATTCTTCATTGTTAATTCAGGTTTTAGATGAAGCAGACAAGATGCTGGACATGGGATTCGAACCTCAGATAATGAAGATTTTGTTAGATGTGCGCCCAGACAGACAGACAATTATGACAAGGTAGGTATGCCTAGTTATTGTCTGCAGGGTAGAAGTCAGTGGATTAGAATCCCGTCTGTTTGGTTGATTTCCCCATAGTATTTTAGAGCATTACTTGAAAGGATTTTGAGATCCTTAAGTCTTAACTGTAACAATGACTTTTTTTTTTTTTTTTTTTTTTGGTGGGACTGGGATTTGAATTTAGGGATTTGTGCTTGCCAAGCAGGCACTTTACCTCTTAAGCCTACCTCAAGTCCATTTTCTATGGTTATTTTGGAGATGGGGGTCTCATTAACTGTTTTCAAGGGCTGCCCTTGAACCACAATCTCCTGATCTCAGCCTTCCAAGTACCTGGGATTATAGGCATGAGCCATCAGCACCCAGCTGTTTTACTTTTTTTTTCTTTTTATTATCATTGTTTTACTGGGATATATTGTTCTTAGTGTGTACCATAGTTAAATCCACCCCTCCTTTATTCTCCTTTATCCCCTGCCCCCATTCTTAGAATAGTTTCAACAGGTCTCATTTTTCCATTTTCATACATAGTATTACAATATTCACCTTCTACTTCCTTTCATTAAACCTTCCCCCCCGTTTTATTCTTGACTGTTGGGTTTCCTAAGTTACATTTACTTTCATGGAATACCTTAAATTGTGTAAGGGTTCATCCATCCTTAGACATAAGCATTTGATTCCAAAAGAATGGTTTTTTGCCCAAGCTAAAAAGTGAGAACGTAATTTGAATCTAGAGTGACCTATAAAGACCAGTTTCTGCTGGGCTTAAATCCTTTTCTTCATTAGCATGAGGCATGTTCTGTGATTAAAAACTATATTATATCCCCTCCCTTTGTTTTCTGTGATCTTGTTATTTCAAGAAGAGTAAGGTTTGATTTTGTGTGATTACTGTGAAGGTAGAAAACATGGTCACTTTCATTGTTTTATATAAATGATTGAAGAAACATTTATATTTATAGCCCTTGACCAGTATACCTAAAATTATTTGCATTTGGCATAAGCAGTTGGTTTTGACTGCTGACATTGTATGAAAAATACAACTTTTGTCTTTTATAAAGGTCAAGATAAAACTAACCTAACGCTAATTCGTTTAGTATCTTTTCACAGATTAAAATTTAGTTGAAGGCATATATATCTCCTTAATCTTTGGGTTATAAACCTTTTTATTAAACCTATGTAAAGGTTTCATTGAATAGCTTTGCTACAGTTGAGCAATTCTTAGTGGGATTTACTTGTAAAGTCTGCTTTAGTTACTGAAAAAACAGGAATACTATAGTAGTCTTTATGAATAACTTTGATTCATACTATGTTTAAGGAAATATATAATGTATTATAAATTTCTGAGACAGAGTCTCACCATGCAACCCAGGCTGGCCTGAAACTTGCAGTTCTGCCTCAGTTCCCCAGTGCTGGGCTAATTTTTAATACTGGTATTATCTTGTTTTGTTTCCAGTGCTACTTGGCCATCTGCTGTTCGTCGTCTTGCACAGTCTTATTTGAAAGAACCAATGATTGTCTATGTTGGTACTTTGGATCTGGTTGTAAGCTTGTTTTTTTTATTATTATTAAAACTTACTGACTGGCTGGGATGTAGCTCAGTGGTACAGCGCTTGCCTAGCATGCGTGAGGCCCTGGGTTCGATCCCAGCACCAAAAAACAAAAGACAAAAAAAAAAAAAACTTACTGACATTTAAAGTATAGGTATTGGGCTAGGGGTGTGGCTTAGTGGTAGTGATTGTGCTAAAGTATAAAATGATGCTTATTTTGTAAACTGATCAGTAACATTCAGGAAAGCCATATAAATGTTTGATCCTTTCCCTTCACTAAATGCTATTGAAATCTATTTTATCTAAATAGGTAAATATTTTATTTCTTTATTGCTTAAAGAATGGTACCAATAGTATTTTGAAATTTTGTATTAAATTGCCAAAATATTGAATTGAGACTTGTGTCATAGTCGTAATCATCCTTCCTTTTGATGCCCAAAATTCAGGAAGGTATTTTGGGAAGCATGCATTACCTCATGGTTGTTTTCCTACAGTGGCAACCAGTAGCTTTCAGTATATTCTGCTAAGCATTCAGTTGTTCTCAACTTTGCATAAATTATAAAATTTTTGAACTGATGATGGGGTTTCTCCCTCAGGTTGATGTGCTATGATCTTTGAATCTTGTAGGCTGTAAGTTCAGTGAAACAAAATATAATCATCACTACAGAGGAAGAGAAACGAACTCACATCCAAACGTTCCTAGAAAGCATGTCACCTAAAGACAAAGTCATTGTCTTTGTCAGCAGAAAAGCTGTGTAGGTATTTTCTTGTACTTCTCTTGTAATCATGAATCAGATTGATTTGTCTAGGATTACTTCTGTATACTGGTTTCTGATGGGGGCAACCTGTCGCATTATTCCAGTTTTCTAATAGATGTAAAGCTAGTAAATTGATGGTGGTATTAGAGTAAGTGCTAAAAACCATTATCTTTTTACCTTTTTTATCTTTTGCTTCAGGGCTGATCACTTATCAAGTGACCTGATTCTCCAACAAATATCAGTAGAGTCTCTGCATGGTAACAGAGAACAGAGTGACCGAGAGAAGGCGTTAGAGAACTTTAAAACAGGTAAATTTATATAATTAGCATCTGTTGTAACCAGTACCTGGGCTTGGCTCAGTGACATCATCTTTTCATGAAACCCATTTCTAAGCAGTGTCCTCACTTGCATGTCCCCAAAACACAATTGATAGAGCTCTAAATATTAATAATGCTTCTAAGAACTAAGGTCAAGGGTAATGTCTAAACCCAGGTGTTAAGATATTACTTTGCATTAGAGCTATATCTCAATTTTCTTCAGGCATATATTTTCTGACACTGTTCAGATAGCTGAGGGACCATTTGCTGAGCCATTGTGTTAGAACTTGCCAGTAATTTTTCTAAAACTATCCCAGCTAGACACCTGGGGCTCACACTTGTAATCCTAGCTACTTGGAAGGCTGAGATTGGGAGGATTGAGGTTCAAAACCAACCTGGGCAAATACTTCATGAGACCCTATCCCCAAAATAAGCAGAGCAAAACCCTGAGTTCGAACCCCAGTCCCACTGAAACAAATCCCCTTTCCATTTCTTACGAAGCATTTAAATGTAAACAATAATAGTTCACCTGATTAAATAATAACATACATTTTTTCATGTGTTTTGGGCTGGTTTGTGACAGGATGATTCAATATGCATTTGGATTTACTCTTTAGGTAAAGTGAGAATACTAATTGCTACTGACTTGGCATCTCGAGGTCTTGATGTCCAAGATATCACACACGTTTATAATTATGATTTTCCACGGAACATTGAAGAATATGTTCATAGAGTTGGGCGCACTGGAAGAGCAGGGTAAGTAAACTTAGTCCACCTTTGAAAGAGACCAATTCTGGGTTCTCATGACTCCACACTGTTCTTGCCCAGAAAACCATTTTGTTCTGTTACACGTGTACATGTTCTGTTCCGTTTGCTCCTATCCCTGTTCACATGGATGAACTGGATCCTGCCATTATTCGCTTCACATAACTGTTGCTGATACTATTCGGTCCTAGATCTATAGTGTCTCTGTAATTACTTTGATCATTGTTGACAGATTGTCCAAATTGGCCTGAGGGTGAGAGGACCTTCCCCCTACTGTAAACCCTTGGGCAGTTTAAGGTAGTTAGACCTCTGACTAAATCCAGCAGGTCAAAAATATTTAGAAAAAAAATTGCATGTACAGATTTCTCTTTGTTCTTACTCTCAAAACAATGTAGTAAGACAACTGCTTACATAGCAATTACAGTGTAGTAGGTATTATAAATCATCTAGAGCTGATTTAAAGTGCATAGGAGGATGTGCATACTTTATATGAAAATGCTATGCCATCTTACATAAGAGATCAACTATCCCCAGATTTTGATATCCTCGGGGAGTCCTGAATACTCCACCCCTTGGATACTGAGGGATGGCTATATTTAGGTTCTAAATTGGTACTTGCATGACTTTCAGTCTGAATACATAACACATATTTGGACTTGTGTGAAAAAGTTGAGGTTTCCCTGTTTTTATTCTCTTCTATATTAACTGAGTTATGAATGCATAGTAATTGCTTTTAGAAATTACATGAGCTTTTTCCCCCTCTCTTTTAAAGGAGGACTGGCATGTCAATTACCCTTATCACCAGAAATGATTGGAGGGTTGCCACTGAATTGATTAATATTCTGAAAAGAGCAAATCAGGTAAGAATATGCAGCTCATTAGAAATCTGTATCCTAGTGTTTTGGTCGTATATTAAGCCAGGTACTGGAGTGTATTGCTTATCAGGAAAGAGAAAAAAATCAAACTTATTTGGGCTGTATCATGGCAAAGCTATGAGAACATGTAATTGGGGAACATAAACTAGTGTGAGTGAGAAAGGAGGGGAGTAGAGATGGGGAGTTGTAGGTGTGGCTGATGTTCTGGCAGAGGAGAACATTCTTGGTCCAGAGGTGAGACGGAACATGTAGGGAGTACTACCAGAAGAAAAGGTAAGGTAAGGGCACTTGAAAGCAGCTGAAGAGCAGCAATATGATCATGAGGATGTATGTTTTTAAGATCAGTTTAGAGCCAGGTGCTGGTGGCTCACACCTGTCATCCGAGCTACTCAGGAGGCAGAGATCAGGAAGATCAAGGTTTGAAGCCAGCTCGGGCAAATAGTTCTCGAGAACCTACCTGGAAAATATCCAACACAAAACAGGGCTGGTGGACTGGGTAAAGAGGTAGAGCGCCTGCCTAGCAAGTGTGAAGTCCTAAGTTCAAACCCTAGTACCAACAAAAAACTGGAGATGAACTTGGTCTGGTAGGCAGAGACATTTCATTCATTCTGGGAGATGTCATGTAATTGTGCAAATTCTCAGAAATGATTTCAAAGCATTTTAGAATATTGTAGATAGAAAACTGAGCATCCTAACAACATACTTAATAATTTCAGAGTATTCCTGAAGAGCTTGTCTTAATGGCTGAGAGATACAAAGCAAATAAACTGAAGAGAGAAACAGAAAAAAAAATGGGAAGACCTCAAGGAAAGTTTCATTGATGTCTTTTGTGATACTACCCTACTAGAGGTACAATTTATGTAACAGACTCCTGCCTTGTAGAACTAGGCTTTGATAGTGTGTTTATGACATTTAGTTTGTATCTTAAGAGCCATTACCTCTCTGCTTATTACTCCTACCCAGTATGGAAAGTCTGGGTAATGTATCTTTAGAATTAGAAGTACTCGTTCAGACTTAAAATAAACTTGAAGTTGTACAGAAAGCTCGTTAGAATGGAATTAGTTGGACAACTAATTCTGAGCAACTTGATAATGTGTCAGTTATAAATACCAACACCCTTTGATCTAGCAATTGCTCTTCTAGGAGTGTATTCTATAAATCTGTCTGTAGTCAGTTTGTCACAACAATATCTGTAGTAGCAAAAAGATTAACCAAAATATATACTAGCAGAGCAGATGAATAAACAGTGCTAAATTTAACAGTGCAGCTGTTAAAGAACATTTGAACCATCTTTAAGATACCTTAAGTGAGCCAGGCATAGTGCCCCAGGCCTATAATCTCAGCACTTGGGAGGCTGAAAGCAGAAGTATCACAGTTTGAGGCCAGCCCAGGCAAATAGTTTGTGAGACCCTCATCTTCAAAACAACCAGAAAAAAGTGGATGGTAGGCATGGCTCACTCTGCAGAGTACCTACTTTGCAAGTGTGAAGCCCTGAGTTCAAATTGCATTTCACCCAAAAAAAAATTCAACTGGAAAAATTGGACATCCACATTTAAAAATTATAAAATGGACCCTTTACTTACAACATAAACAAAAAATAACACAAGCTGGATTAATGAGTAAAAAGTAAGATCTAAAACTATAAAACTGGAAAGGAAACAGGAAAAACCTATAAAAACAAAAATCCACAAATGGGACTGCATCAGACTTGAAGATTTGTGCCTAAGAGGACACAACAAAGTGGAGGCAGCCTGTGGAGTGGGAGGAAACACTTGCAAGTCATCCTAGTAGAAACCATTATGGTTCGGATCTGATAATGTTCCTAACAGGCCCCTGTACTGGGGACTGGGTCTGCAGTTAAGGATGGTCTCTTTAGAAGTGGTGGATCCTGAAGTCTCTGCCATAATCAATGGATTATTTTCTCCATGGATTCATAATAAGATGGCATTATTGGGAGTGGTGAAAAGAAGGAAGTGGGGCCTATTTGGAGGAAGTAAATTTTTAAGGTTTACTAATCAGTAAAGAAAATCCTCAATTCATACCCATTAAGATGGCTACTATCTGGCTGGAGATGTAGGAGAGCCCTGGTTTTGATTCCCAGCACCACACCTACATACACAATAAAAGATGACCACTATCAGAAAACAAAATGACAAGTATTGTGAGCTTGCAGAGAAATTGGGATCCCTTGAGCATCACTGGTAGAATTGTAAAGTGGTACATCTGTAGCAAACAGTACGTGTTTGTTTAAAGAAAAATAGAATGACTATATGTCATCAATTCACTTCTGGGTATATAGATTCAAAAGAATAGAAATCAGGGTCTCAGAGATTTGTACACTCATTTGTAGCAGTGTTATTGATAACAGCATTCACTTGTAAGTAGTGCAAGTGTTCATGAGTGGTTTAATACAATGTGTGTTATACATAGCAATGGAATATTTAGCCTTAGAAAGGAAGAATGTCACATGCTATAACCTAGATGAACCTTGAGGACATTAGGCTATAAATAAAACAAGGAAAAAAGTTCAGAGAAACAGTAGAATGGTTATTAAGGGCTGGGGGAAGAGAAAGGTGTCACTCTTCAATGGATGCAGAGTTCGGTTTTGCAAGATTAAAACATGAGAGACTGCATAGCAATGTGAGTATAGTTAACACTGTTGAACTAACATGGGCCTAGGGTGTGGCTCAATTGGAGGCCTCAGAGTTCAAACCCAGTAGGTAAGATAGTAAATCCAATGTTAAGTACATTTCATCACACTTACACTTTTAAAACAAAGAATTTGAAAGAGAGTAATTTACTTTTTTCTGTTTATTTTTCAGAATTCAAGATTTTTTTGAAATAGATACTATTTTAAATGGAAATATTGAAACTGTCAGTATGAAGAGACTTGACTGATTTTTTTTGATTCTTAAAATAATAGTGCTTTAAATGTAGAATTCAATATTTTATACTTTCTTTAATAAAATCAAAAGTATTTAAACTTGAGTTGACGTTTTTTCATGGATATTAAGGATGTAGCATTTGAAGGTTTTCTTTTACTTACATTTTTTACTTAGAAAAGAAAAGGGGTTGGATGTGATGTAACTCAATGGTAGAATGCTTGCCTAGCATGCACAAGGCCCTGGGTTCAATACCAAGCACTGTAAAAATACATATGTATATTTTTTAAAAATTATCCCTTGTAATGTTGCTGTACTAAGGTGTGTCTTTAAAGAGTTTAATACTTGCACAAATGTCATGGCAGTGTAAAAGGTACGTTACCAAAATAAATGTTAATTTTTGTGATAACAAAAGTAATTTGTCTTTCTGTGTGTTACTTTAATTTTGTATTTGCTAAATAGTATTTTATTTGGGTATATGTTCCTTAATTGCCTATGCTTCACCTACTTTGAAATTAAAGTAAAATCATAATGTAATGAGACCAATATATGCAACAATTGTTTATCTTCATTTTAGCCCTGTAACTCGCTAAAATCCTAGGAAAATCAAATTTCCACATGTTTCATTGATCACATTCATATTTCCCCATATGGTTTTCTGTTCCTCCATAAATGACAATTATTAATTCTAGAATTTGTATTTATATTTGTATATAATTAGTGTAGGCCTTCATCACATCATCTTAAATTATCATCCAGACAATAACTTTCCTGATAGTATAAGATTAATAAGAGAACCTACCAGGTGTGGTGGAACACACCTGTAATCCCAGGACTCTGGAGACTGAGGCTGAGGCACAAGGGTTGTGAGTTCAAAGCCATCCTGGGCAACAAAGTAAGACCCTGTCTCAAACACAAAACAAAGATTAATAAGAGAACCTAACAGAAGAAAGGAAATAAAGATCTGAAATCAATGAATTAGCAAATAAAGTTTAGTGAAAACCAATAGCTGATGCTTTACTAAGACCAAGCAAATAACGTAAGTCCTGGAGAGAATGGAAGCAGAATGTTGAAGGCCTTAAACTATGATAAGAGTTCTGTGTACAGTTTTGTGAATAAATATGAAAATCCACAAGATTGACAGCTTCATTTTTCCCTGAGTTACCACAATAGCTCAGGCAGTCTAGCTGAACAGACAAAAAAGAAATATGAAATGTAACCAAGGACCTTCAACAGGACAAAAGTTCCTATATTTAAAAAGATGAAGCCACTCTGATAAATGGATGGAATTGGAGAACATCATTCTGAGTGAGGTTAGCCTGGCCCAAAAGACCAAAAATCGTATGTTCTCCCTCATATGTGGACATTAGATCAAGGGCAAACACAACAAGGGGATTGGACTTTGAGCACATGATAAAAGCGAGAGCACACAAGGGAAGGGTGAGGATAGGTAAGACACCTAAAAAACTAGCTAGCATTTGTTGCCCTCAATGCAGAGAAACTAAAGCAGATACCTTAAAGCAACTGAGGCCAATAGGAAAAGGGGAACAGGAACTAGAGAAAAGGTGAGATCAAAAAGAATTAACCTATCAGGGTAAATATTTGGCATATGATAGATGACACTCTCAATAATGACATGGTCTAACTCTTCTACTCTCTGGCTTGCCCTTTGATGGGTTTTTTAATTTGGGCAAACAAAATACTATATGGCCTTTACATTTTCTAATAACAGCAACAATAATGAGATAATAAACTACTATTATACACAAAAAAAAAAAGAATTAACCTAGAAGGTAACACACACGCACAAGAAATTAATGTGAGTCAACTCCCTGTATAGCTATCCTTATCTCAACCAGCAAAAACCCTTGTTCCTTCCTATTATGGCTTATACGCTCTCTACAACAAAATTAGAAATAAGGGCAAAATAGATTCTGCCGGGTATTGAGGAGGTAGGGGGGAGAGGGAGGGGGCGGAGTGGGTGGTAAGGGAGGGGGTGGGGGCATGGGGGAGAAATGACCCAAGCCTTGTATGCACATCTGAATAATAAAAAAAATAAAAATAATAAAAAAAAAAAAGATGAAGCCAGGAATGGTGGTTCCTGCCTGTAAGCACTCCCAGTCCTTGGGACTGAGACGAGATTGTGAGTTCCAAGCCAGCATTGGCTACATAATGAGAACCTGTCTCAAAGAAAAGGCGGCAGCGGGGTCATCCCAGGAGTAGTCCTGGTAGAACACTTGTCTAGCATTTTCATGAGGCCCTGGCTTTGATCCCTCGCACTGAAAAAAAAAATGGAAAAGATGAGCTGAGGTGAAAACTATATTAGACTGCATGTACACATATTAAGCATAGAGTGATGTAAGAAAAAGCTAGGGGTAATTGCCTCTGGGAAGGTGAGTGGGTGGCTGATTTAACTAGAGTGAAATACTTTAACTGCTTTTTGAATTTTGGCATTTGCATGTGCCCCCTTATGAGAGGGGTATATTCAAAACCTTCAGTAGATTCCTGAAACAGTGGATGTAATGAACCATACACATGCTGTTTTTCCCGAATCTGCATAGCCGTCCATGCAGGAAAGACTCGTGTTACCTGTTTCAAGCTCCTTTACTGAAGTCTTGGTATAGGTTTAACTCTTTCTGGTGCACACATTGCTGTCAGTTGAAACTCATTTTCCATCCATGTCTTCTACCCACAAATAAAATGCCTTTTCTACCTTAACTAAGCACTTATGTGCTATGGTCATAACTTTTACAGTTGAAGGTGCAGCAGCAAAATTAGCACAGTTATCTTTTTCCTTCACAATTTCATGGATAGAAGATTTGTTCTTATTATAGGTTTTAGGGACCTCCACATATGATTTTTTCCTCTCCTTATTACTCAAAAAACCAAAAATTGTATGTTCTCCCTCATATGTGGACATTAGATCAAGGGCAAACACA